GACCTGGCTTAATTACCTTTAGTATGAGGCGATTTCGCGTTCTAACCGGCTAACCCTACCCAATGACATTAATGGCCACTAATGATAGATAATGGGTTTCGGAAAGAACACTTAACTTGAATTTGATGACAGCGTGTTGAAAATGGTACACCTTTGGTTTCCATAACACTACGTCCAAGTAAATTTAACAGGAGCCGAATTTGCTCCCGTGTGAGCCTCTGGTCTCATATCAACAATGGCTGTTTAACACTCCATACTATTGACGTTACTGGCCGACATTGTCCAGATATGATAGGAGCTAAATTTGCTCCACACGTCTCGGAGGTGACACAACAATGGCTGCCCTCCTTCCCCTGACGCCTGGCTTACATTGTCCAGATTTCAGAAAGTGATAGAAGGGTCACATTTACTCTACTTTAATATTGATAATTAAGTTAATTTATATAAGATGTTTTTATGATGGTAAAGTCCAAAGACTAATGTATTTAAGAATAATTCCCACCATAATAGGTGGTGAATTATAATAGTATGTGGTGATGATATCCCGTTTTCTTTAGACGGTAATTCCACTACAAGTTACGTTTTCTATGGGTAACTTGTTTATACAACACAGCTCTTATCTGTTTGTATAATATATTAAATGGTGTCGGATTTTCCGACAAGAGAGAGAGAGAGAGAGAGAGAGAGAGAGAGAAAGAGTGAGGGAGAGAGAACTAAGTTAAAGAAAGGTTTCAGAAATGCTGGTATGAATAATACATATCCAAGAACACAAGGTATTATGGCCCTCAGACCAGCCGAGGTGTAGCCGAGACAACTTGTAAGTTAAAAGGTATAGATAACACTTTACTGCTCACAATGGGCACCGTTCTTAGGTGAACTTTTCGGCGAATACTGGCAGTGCAACGGTGCACTATCTCACGATGCAAGAAGCCCAGCGGAGGGCTATCTTAAGATGAGAGACGGCCAACCCAAAATCAAGAAAAGGCAGATTTGCAGGCAGCCCACGTTGATGCTAGATGCACGTCTCACATCTAAATAGGCAACATTTCCTGCTTGCAGTAAGAACCGTCAAACAAATGTCTGAATAATAAATAAAACAGTAAAATAATAATCCACCACTGTGGCCCAAGACGTCCTTATTAACTATACTGGTTGCAATACGTCCTTATTACTGCTCATATCCTTATTCTCTCAGAAAGTTTTATTTATTAATATAAAAATTTATCTCATTCAAAATGTATTAGCCTATCCAAGTATTAATAATATATTAATTATTGCAATATATTAGTGGCGTGAATGATGCTTTTTAAAATCAGCTTGATTGTTTGGATTATAATGATAGATCGCATTCAATAAGTAATTGAAAGGCTAAATTTTGTAATCAGTAATTTTCAATAAATATTCAAATTACGTAAATCTAATGACTGTATCAAACAACAAAATTTATTCAAATAATCTCCTCCCGCCAAAAAAAAAATAATTGTTCTCACTAATTTAACAAAAAAATCACAAAATTTTATGTTTCTATTGCAAAAATTATGTATAGCTGAGAACTTTTTTATTTCGCTATTATTTATTATTTACTTAGTGCTTTCTTAATGATTGACAATCATCCTGGGGTCATTGCTAATTATGAAAACTATCCTCTAGCAACAGTATAAATAATACAGTCATGGAAATTGTGGGGAAGAAAGCAGGACAATTAGGTATTGTCATTTCTTCTGATATATTAGGAAAAATTGTTAAGCCGGTATGACTTTACAGCACATTGATGGGGTAAGAGGGCAAGGTGCCCGGATATGAGGAAAGGGCGAGGAAGGAAAGCCCAACCACCAGAGCCATCGGAAATCAAACGCCGATCCTGCAGGAAGCGTGACCATAGCTTTTACCGACCGGTTCCAGTGAATGAACCAAGACAATGAGGATTAACATACAGGTCACCAGAAAACAAGAGAATCGGTCATGTGATATTAAAAGGTTTGGAATCTGGTGTAGGTATATTTTAATAGCAGACGCGAGAATCTAGACATCTGTTGAACCAGAGACTAGTCTAAGCTGCGCCATAGAGACTTCCAAAGCCACAACTCATTAACATAAAATCCTTTACGGCAATAAATGGATCATAATAGATTTAATTCAGTGTCCACATCCACTCCTCTCTTCCACTAGGGGATGAATTGGAATTTGGTATCAATAAAGATATCAAATATTGTGAAAAATAGCTATGTAAGAATTAAAATAAGACAGTGAGGTGACTGTACGCAGGAGCGACATGGCGTCTCCCTCGCCCCTACCAACTCTATCGAGCACAAGAAATGTTACACTCTCGGTGGAAGAATTAAGATGTAGTTGAAATCAATAAGAAGGAAGATCCATTGAGCCGCTATCAACTACAAATTAGTAGTACGGCTGTTGATAACTAATCAAATGTTTTAGAAAATAATGTTAACAGGTAACACGTTCTTATGTAATGAAAAATACATTAATAACCTACTAATCTTCATCTCTGCTGCCTACGTTAATACTGATGACTGTTCACTTATACAAAAGAGAAGATGCTCATTCGCATAAGTTCACGGGTCACAAGTTGCTTGGGGTAGGTGATGGTAGGTCACAACTGCTGCCAGAAAACACAAACAATTTTGATTTATATATTATAACTACTGTAACTAATGTAAGGATGTGTGATAAAGTCTTACTGTTCAATACTTAAGACCACAGCCTTATGCTGAAATGGATTTTTTAATAGCCATGAAGGCAGTACGATAATTATTAGGAGAAAGAGTCGAGCTTGATCGACTATATACATACCTACATGAATCTCGTGCTGACTCTTTTGAGAAGGGCAGTGAAAACCTTTGCAGTATTAAGATAAATACACTTGCTCAAGTGGTTTTAAGACTAATAAAATAAATAAATATTTACACACACACACACATATATATATATATATATATATATATATATATATATATATATATATATATATATATATATATATATATATATATATATATATATATATATATATTCTGTGCAATATATTGTGAAAGTCACATCACAGTATTATGAAATTTAAACAATTATCGTTACAACATAAATCTGAGATCTCTTTCCTTACGCTTCAGTATATGAATATGTCAACTGTTTGTATTAATTTAATGTTTTGCTTTGGGCGATGTTCTGATATAGCATTGTTCTAGCTATATTGGTCTAGCAACTCAAGGCTCCAGAGCCCGTTTCCTACAGAGTTGTTTCTAGTTCGGTTTAAGCTTATTCCTGAAGAATAAATGTATCTCGACCTTCGTCTTGTAAATACCTAAATAGTTATCGAAGATCCACACAAATTAAGGAAAGATATACCCAACAATCTGACTCTGTCTGAGGTTGTGAATCCTGATCCATGAACGGGTTGACTTGTTAATGTTTCCGGTCCTTGCACTGTGAATTGGCAACGTGCCCTTGCTGGTAACCTAGACTTTAATAAAAATACTTCTGCAGATGCATAAGATTTAACATTCTCTCTCCACACAAACCTCTTTCTCTCTCTCTCTCTCTCTCTCTCCATCCCCGCCCAACCCTTTCTATCTTCCCTCCCATCGCTTTCTCCTCACCCATCCCGTCCTTATCCCCCACCCAAAGCCTTCTATTTCGTTATCCAACCCTTTCCCACCATCCCTACCAGACCATGTCAGTATTCTCACCCAACCATTTTAATTATCATTGCAACCCTCTTTTCCCCCTCGGAGCCCTTACCCTTTCTTCATCCTGTTTTTCATTCGTGCGAACACTTCTCACTGATTAGATTTAGTCCTCCTTACTAGATCATTATTCTGCCCCTTCTTCATTATCCATTCATCTTCTCCACCCTTCTTCACTCTCTATCTAGACCCATACCATCTCCCTTAGCTCTCATTTCTCCACTTATCTTTCTCTTACATTCTCTCTCTCTCTCTCTCTCTCTCTCTCTCTCTCTCTCTCTCTCTCTCTGCCTCTTCCCACTTCCCCTCTCCCTTATTACTTTTGCATTCTCCTATTTCACAAGCTGTCCTCTCTCCCTTCAACACTAATTTTCACGTTCCTTCCTTCTCCCCTCTACGTGTTCCACTGGCATATATTCCTCTCTGCTATTTGTTTAATTTATTTCGTGTGTATCAAATATGTTGTTGAATATGACCGAAAAGGTAAGATTAATAATTCTAACACGAATCTTCTCAATATTTCTTATGTTTTCCTTCACTGTCGGTGGTAATAAAAATAACAATTCTCCGAAATTCATTTTTTAATTGTCTGACGCCTGAACGCGTTTCGTAATTCGTATTACATTTTCAAAGACAATTTACACACAAATTCTTCGTACCGAGGTGAGGTGATATGGTACAAAAGTTTGGGTGAGGTGACAAACACAAGACAGAACACGAAACAATGGGTATAAATTAGAAAAGTGGATCTGCAGTTACTTCCATTCATATGTTCACTTATCCGATTTATACCCCATTATTTCGTGTTCTGTCTTGTGTTTGTCACCTCACCCAAAACTTTTGTACCATATCACCTCATCCAATAGAGTATAAGTACGAAGAATTTGTGTGTAAATTAAGTCTTTGAAAATGTAATACGAATTACGAAACGCGTTCAGGCGTCAGACAATTAAAAAATGAATTTCAGACAATTGTTATTTTTATTACCACCGACAGTGAAGAAAAACGTAAGAAATATTGAGAAGATTCGTGTTAGAATTATTAATCTTACCTTTTCGGTCATATTCAACAACATATGTTTACAAGAAAGACTGCTACCAAAATATACCTTAGCATACATATACAGGACATATAAATAATAGGAGCACTAATAAAATTTATTTCAATGAGAAGTAATTGTAATTATATGAACAAAATTTCAAAATTTAGATTTTGGTGACTATTGATTACTTTGGGTGACTTTTCTTTTTCTTTTTATGATGAGGGGGACTAATGTGAAGTGATGTGACTCTTCCCCAGACACCCCGGACACCAAGCCCAGGGTGAGTGGCCTGGAGGCTGCCTACAGAGACGGCGAGAAAATCTCTCTCAACTGCACTTCTCTGAGATCCCGACCACCGGCTCAGCTCACCTGGTCCATCAACGGTCAAGAGGTTAGTGTTGGGGGTGACGGTGTTGAGGGAGGGTGACCGTGTTGAGGGAGGGTGACGGTGTTGAGGGAGGGTGACGGTGTTGAGGGAGGGTGACGGTGTTGAGGGAGGGTGAATGTGTTGAGGGAGGATGACGGTGTTGAGGGAGGGTGCATGTGTTGAGGGAGGGTGAATGTGTTGAGGGAGGGTGAATGTGTTGAGGGAGGGTGACGGTGTTGAGGGAGGGTGACAGTGTTGAGGGAGGGTGAATGTGTTGAGGGAGGGTGAGGGGGGTGTTTGAGGGAAGGTGAAGGTGTTGAGGGAGGGTGAAGGTGTTGAGGGAGGGTGACGGTGTTGAGGGAGGGTGAATGTGTTGAGGGAGGGTGAGGGGGGTGTTTGAGGGAAGGTGAAGGTGTTGAGGGAGGGTGAAGGTGTTGAGGGAGGGTGACGGTGTGCTTAATCATGTTGAGGGTGTTAATGGGGTGTTGGGGGAATAGTAATATGGGTATGTGGAGACGGTGGAGTTGCTGAAGAATGGAGGGAATTGGGTAGTAAGGTGTGGGAAATAAAGCCGCAGATGGGGAGCATAACTTGCGGGGATCAGATATCGTAAGTGGTTGCATAAATGTCTGATAAATCCTAGCCCTATTCTGTAGACCTTCGAACGTCAGCTAACTGCTGCTCTCTCTTGTGAGATGCTGGGAGTAGCAACTACCTCAGTTTACCACTCTGGCTAAATAACATAAAGTTACTAATTTTATCCAGGAATATCCTCAATTATTAGTGGTTATATATTATTTACCAATAATTTTAAAGGGGCTTTGTGAGCTGCGTGTATTTATGAAGAACCCGCTTATGCATGTTTTATGCATGATGATCCAAGGATTAGCTGCTTGAATTTATCATTCTTTAAGCATCATTTATCACCTGTGATAAAATCCAAGAACATAAGAACTTAATTTATTTTTAATAAAACATTCACATAAGCATATTCACCAATATTCAGATAAACTGAATGAAATTTGTTAGTATTGGCAGTTCTTCTCCATATTTGTCTTTCTCCTTTGTCCCTCTTTACTCATACATTCATTTTCCACACCCATCGCAATCTTCCTTTCAATACCATTTTCATTTCTTATTCAAGACCCATGCTATCAATCTAAGCTTTCAGTTTTTCCTTTATCCTTCTCACTCCCATTCGGACTCTTTTGAGTAAGGGATATTCTTGAAGCAGTGCTTGCACATCCATTATTTTATCTCGTGTATAATATTTAATCTGGAAATCTACACAGTTTGAATATGATATCATTGCTTAATCCCTACTGGAATATGAACAAAAAGATTCTCACTGAATTTCTCTTACATATTACACCGGTAGTCTTATAATACAGTCTATACACTTTGATGTAGACTTTTAAATTGTGATCGAAATTCGGCAATTAACCTACACAATTTCGATTTGGGTTCTGTTACTTGCATGTGACTACGACCTTACTACCCATGAGTTACTTGCTCTCTTAGACAGAAGGAAAGGTATTTTCCTGAATGAATTAACTCATACAGTCAGAACAATCTTCTGCTCTACTGAACAATTTGGATCAACTAATCTAAGTCATCTTTCGTTGTATCTCCTGTCATGTTTCACGTATCTCTTGTCTCCAGAGTATCATTTTGATTTAAAAGTAACTGAAATCTGGGTGGCATGCACCGTAGACTTTAATATCGGAGCGATATATTCACATTTATTTTAACAGCTGACACTGAGATACTGCCACTGGTCACAAAGTCACTACATAACGCTTCACCCCGTGCGCTCACAGAGCTTCAACTCTCATTATCAGTGTACTCTCTCGCTGTATACTACACCAAGGGCTCGCCGCTGCCTTTGATGTTCACCAATGTTTTCAATCTCCTCCCGAAAGCGCCAATCTGCATCCCGAATGCAACGTCGACAGCCAACTTCCTCACGGTCTCTCTCTCTCTCTCTCTGACACGTTGACCTCTTACTCCTTACGAGTCCTTTCCTCCTATCGTCAATATATTGACTACGTATATTATCTACCACATGGGGCTCAGAGGTCAGCACACTCGAGACATAGATCAAAAGTTGCCGGGTTCAAATTCCAGCAGCAGGCCAAAAGAATATGGGAAACGTTTTCTTTATCCAGACCTATTTACCTTTCAGGAAACACACTTGGGCGTTAAGTAACTTTTGCGGTTTACATTACATGGAAGGTTAATAGTGTTCCTATATGAACAGGCTTTATGTCCCCGACTATAGGAAGTCCTGTGGTACTAGCGACTAGCTACCCGTGGTAGTAAAATGTCTTCTACTTGCAGACATGACCTCACCGTCCTGACCTACAGTGAAACAATGCTCTGAAGCGATCATACACCCAATGACACTGGCGATGTCCACGCATTCCCTTATACTGACCAAGTCCCATTACCTCAAGCCTCTTGACTGGCTGAAGCCTTCAATCCAACTGACCGTTAGCTGACGGTCTCTCCCTTTAAACTAGTTGCCTTTTGAGTTTGTCTCAGCATATTCAGCATCTGACGACGCCCGCATGATGCTTCACAGTGGGGGGGGGGGGGTCTTCTGCAATTGATATCTTGATCCTCCTCCAGGTTGTGGCGGTCGCTATCTTGAACACATTTAATCGCTGGAATCTGTAATATTTTCCACTATGCCAACTTATAATATAGAATAAAAAAAGCTATTTAACGTGTTTGAAAGGTGAGAATTAGATAAATTATTTGACAAGAGGGACAAAATTAGGCGGAGCGGCTCCCATCGTCATACTGACCACGGATTAAAGGGAGGGGGGGGGAATTATTAGAAAAATAAGGGGGTAGGAAGAAGTGGAAATGTAAAGCTGAAGGAAGACGACAGAAGAGGATGAAGAGGAGCAAAGCGTGGGAAGGAGTGAAAGGGTATAAGATGAAAGTGAAGAGAAGGATGACAGGGTGTCCTGAGGGATGTTTGTTTCGTAAACTTGGTCTGTTTAAGGTCACGAGCGAGGCTGAGGGGAGAGGGGTGAGAGGGAGCGTGAGGGGTGAGAGGGAGCGTGAGAGGTGAGAGGGAGCGTGAGGGGTGAGAGGGAAGAGTTGGAGGAAGAGGAAAGGGGCAGTAGTGGGAGAGCGGAGGAGGTAGAGAGGGGGGAATATGAGGAAAACAGAGTGGTGAAAGCGTAGGAGAGTCAGAAAGAGAGAGAATGAAAGAAAGGTTGAGGGGGGAAATAGAAAGAGAGAGAGAGGGCGGAAGGAGAGTGAGAGGATAAGAGCAGGGATAAGAAATTGGTAAAGAGAAAGGGATAACAAAAGTGAGGGGGAGATAGAGAACAAAGTGGAGAGAAACGGGCAAATGAAGGACTGAGTAGAAAGAATTTAAGTAGAGAGGAAAGGAATAAAAGAAACAAGAAGAATAATGTAGGCGGAAATGAGATATTAAGATAGAGACGGAAAGAGAGAAAGAGATATATGAGGGAAGGATAAGAGGAATAAGCGAGCAAAAATATTAAAGGATTTGAGAGAGGGTTATGGGGAGAGATGAATGAAAGAGAGAAAGAAACATGGGATAAGGTAAGACATGCAACATTTTGACCTTATGAACAGGATCGAGAAGGTGACAAATACAGTAAAGAATGAAGGGGAAAACACCTCATAACATGGAAAAAGAAAACAAAACTTGGGAGTAAATGTTGCTCAAGATCTAACACCACAGCCATACATAAGCAGACTAACTTAGACAGCATTCACCAAACTTAGCAAAGACTGGTATTCGGTATTCGAAGAATAGCAAAGAGATTGGAAGGATTGGAAGGTAGATACATAACCGGGGCCAATAAGCTTTTTTGATATCTGTCAATGACATAAGTGACGAAGTGCGATTCTTCACGTCTGCCGACAATACAGAAGAGTATTACCAATTGCTCCAGATAGAATTAAATTTCTGAGCGAATTGGTCAGAGAAATGGCTACTAGACTCTGCAAGTGAATGCAGAGATGAGGATGTGACACAGACGAGGGGGCCACGGGGAGAGTATACGAGGGTAAAGAGATAAAAACTTGAGACAGAAAACAAAGAGATTTGATAGATAAAGCCCCAAGCCGATCACTTGACTCATGTTAACAGAATAACCTCAGAGAATTATGCAAAGCCAGCGAATATTCCTCTTCATTTCTGGCACCCGTATAACGAAGCCTTCAGTATACTGAAGAGCTAATTATAGTCTTACGCATGCAATATCCACTGCCCTGTTTTTTACATGGAGATTGATACAATCATGAATGTACAGTTTGTGCAGATTGATTTTGGAAATTCAGTAACACAGTCAATAGTTTTTTAATGTTTTCTTCTATTTAACCGTTTTAGTCCATTATATAAGTTCATTTATGTTTTTATTTTTTTGTTAATCTCCTTTATGTTCAATTTCCAGTTTCTACATCCACAATTTACTGGCTTCCCGCAACGGCTATCAAAGCCATCCACTTTCATTCAAAGCTTTAATTTAAGCGTTGTACTTCATAGGAACACTCCCACCATCTCATAATCAACTCGTCTCCTTCTGTTTCTCCAACTTCATTACAATCTACCACCTTTCCATTATCCCTATCCCCCACCTCTAATCCGCTTCCCATCCTCCTCTTCCCCCTTCCAGCATCTAACTCTTCTTTACCCACACCTCTTCCTCATATTGCTCCCCCTTCCACTACACCCTTCCCTTTCCAAACATTTTCGTCTTCAAACTGTCATGTGTTACAAGCAAGTGCTACTTGCTTGTAACACTTAAAGCTTTATCATGCAAAAGTCCCCTACAACAGGTGGCTGCGTGAATTCCCTCTTCACCAACCTCATCACCAAGGAATCATCTTCTTCTTCAGGTACCAATGGGGTACCTACAAACATGTGATATCGGGAAGAACAAATGAAATATGTAAGTACGATCACCCTAGAAAGTGCAGAATCCTCCTTAGTACGGGTAAATGCACCGAAAGGTATGATTTTTTTTCACCCAGAA